ATCTGCTGATCGCTGGTGCAATGCTTTACAGGCTCCAGAAACAAAAAATAAATGCACTTTTTATTTATTTTTTACCTGAAAAAGTGCATTTTTCTTTTTTTGTTAAAAGGTGAATTTATCCTTTGACAACATACTTCAAAAATACATTGTAATCTTTATAAATGGAAGATAAAGGATAGTATCTTCTCATGACATTTTTTTTTTGTCTGTTACAGAACCACAGGTCCAGTTAAATATTTCATATTGTGTTGCTGTAGCCATTACATGTAATCAAGAAAGCCCTATATTTCAGCTTAGCAGTTCTTCGATTTGGTGGCTGCATTTGTTTTTTTTTTGTTTTTATTTATTTATTTTCTTTTATTTTTTTCAGGTTTTTCTCCTTTTTTGGTTTTTAACTTGGTGATCCTGACAGTAACAAAATTCCTGCCCTAGGGTGAAAATGCTCACTCATTGTACTGCATCTAGTGCTGTCACCCTAAAACAGGACTACAAACTCCTCTCCCTCTCATGTTCTCCATAACAGTAAGGGGTTTGTAGTCCTCAGAGATGGCCATAGTCAATGTAACTCATAAGTCAGCACATACAGAAAACACAGGAAGGTATCAGTTGACAAGAGTTTTCGCAGAATAAACAGGTATTTTTTGCACTTATCTAGCAGATATAGCAAAACATTTTTAAAGGTATAATAGAGTTTAAAAAGCATCAAATAAGATATTTTTTGTTAGGATTTACTTACTATTTAACTAAATGATGCTTTCTATCCCAGGGTGCCCTCCAGGCCAAGCTTCAGAGACCACTCATGCCCTTGGCATACATTTATCACACTGCTTGGGGCAAGGGCTTGACAGCTGGTAATGTGTGTTCAAAGAGATCCTGGATTATCAGCCAAAATGTGCAGCTGAAGAACTTTAAAGAGCTATCCCATGGGGAATGGAGTAGCCATTTTTATTTATATATTATTATTATACAGTATTTATATAGCGCCAACAGTTTGCTCAGCGCTTTACGATATAATGGGAGACAATACAGTTCAATACAAGAGGGATAGGAGGGCCCTGCTCCTAGGAGCCTACAATCTAGGAGATATAATCAGGGGCAGACAGACAGCTCATGGGGCCCCCGGGAAATAGGGGATCATGGGGCCCCTGTGTCCTTGCCCACACTCAAAGCACATCCTAAAAAGCCTATAAAAAGTACCAGGGGCATTTCATGGGGCCCCCTTCTGACCCTGGACCCTCAGGCAGTGCCCGAATGGTCAGTTTACCCCTGAGATAGAGAGAGAGAGATACATTTTGGATTAAATATTTTAATATTTGTGCCTTACCAATGTTTAATTTTACTGTCAAATACTGTGCATAGTGCATTAGATATACAGTTCATAAGCCACAAACTATACAGGCAGTCCCTGAGTTATGAACATCTGAGTTACGAATGACTCCTACTTGCAAAAGAAGTGAAAGGAAATCTACCACTAGGAAGGGAAATTCACTCCTGTAACCGTTATGGGAAAAAGGTGTCTCCACTGAAGGTTTATCATCAATTCTTGTTTCCACGACAACCCAAAATTTTCAAAGTCCAGTTGTCACAGGGACAGAAATTGAGGTAACAATCTTCTGAACAGAAGCATAGACAGCAAAATAAATGTTACAGGGGTGGTAACCCTTCCCTATGCTATCCAAAAAAATGCAAAAATATTTTTTTTGGCTGGAGCTAGAAAATGTACCTGTTCCAACTTACACGCAAATTCAACTTAAACCGGAGTTCCACTCACGCTGTCAAAAAATAAGAGAGCAGCTACAAAAACTATAGCTGCTGACTTTTAAAAAACAGCCACTTACCTGTCCCTCGGTTATGCGGTGTGTCCCCCGCAGCCCATTTCACCGGCCGTCCTGTATTGCAGGAGGCTGGCATCTTCAGTGTGGGCACCCAGCTGTGACAGCTTGCGGCTTCACATCCGGGTACCCACTGCGCATGTGCGAGTAGCTCTGCGCTTCATGAATGGTCCTGTAGTCTTCTGGGACCTGTCACGTGTCCCAAAAGATTACAGGGAGGGAGGAAGGACACCTTCCTCTTCCGGTCGCCTAGGTGATCGGACCGGAAGTGAGAGCGAGTACCTGTCAAATTCGGGTACCCGCTCCCCAAAGATGCCAATCCTTAATGGGCAGCAGTCCTTAGAGCAGTCCTTAAAGCGGACATCCTCTTTTAGGTGGAGCTCCGCTTTAAGAACAAACCTAAAAACCATAGTGTGCTCGTAACCCGGGGACTGCCTGTATAAAAAAAAATGCTGTAGAAATAGACAGCCTGGATAAAGCACACCTCGCCCAGCCCCAGAGGTTACCAAGATAAAAGCAGCCTCAGATTGATTCACCTAAGCCATGCCCCCCTAGCTTGTTTTTCCCTGCCCCGGACTTAATCATGGGCCATTTTATCTAGTAGTTATCAGGGCTAGAAAAATGTAAAGCTGACTCTACAATTTTTCAATTCAATTTTTTACTGGAAATTCGTAAGAAAATTTGCACAAAAATGTGTGCAGAAATTCTCCATACATGCAATGGCTTGACAAATGTCATTTAAAATTTCCTTTGCTTTAAACATTCAATTTTGGAATAAATGTCACTTCCTA